CAATGTATTAAGGACGTCTGTACACACTGACTGTATACACTTCAATGTGTGGTATTAAGAGTTACTTGTGAATACCTTGTAAACTATTAAATATGCCGCAAGCTAATATTTTAGATTTGGGATACTGTACCCTCTTCTGCACACCCACCAAATGACATGTTTATCGATGACGGATCTCTTTCGGAAGTACAGCCTAAAATGGAGTTAATAAAACGTGTAGGTATAAAGACGCCAGGGTGAATAATCTGTGTCCACCAGCTCGCGTAATATTAACAAATAATATAAATATATATTTGTAAACAATAACAATGAATTAATAAGATATTAACGATATAACAACAACGAAATAACAGTAACGACAATAAACGATAGAAAGTGACAATAGAATACTAACAACGATGAAGATTTTAAATGACTGACGTTTGGGAACAAAATTTGGTTCCAAAAAAATCGTACCCAATTCTCTTTATCATCATGTACACAGATCGCAGAAAAGATTTCAGCTCGAAAACTTTATTACTATTCGAGTTATATCAACTTAAGTGATAATTATTGGCACTACGATTGTGTGTTTACGTATGCATGTATCTATTAAATTTGGGCGAAATTTTATTCGGATGACGGATAAGAGATGAAGACTAACGAATACAATTTTATTCGACACTAATGAATAAATATCCATTTGAATAAAAATTTATCCGAATGAATCCTTTTTAAGTCGAATATTTTATTCAAATAACGATTATTCAATGTTCGTCATAAATTATTCGCATAATTCTTTATTATCCGTCCTACCTTAAGGGATTACTGATCTCAAGAAAACTAATTTTTTGGTTTCGATTGGTTGTGAAAGTATTACATTCGAGAATTATACTCTGAAAGTTTTATTATAATCGGATGAACCTTGACGGAGATATAGTCGCTTAATTACTTTAAGAACTCCTACAGTTTATGGTACAGGCGAATATAACTGTTATTTTTGAGGACTAGCAAATTATTAATTTGCGTAAAGGTAATTTTGTTTATTAGACCGAAGAAAAGAAAACAAATTTTTAATGCAAAAACTACTAAGAGTGGTGAGAGTGGTGCCAGTACATCAGCGAAAAATATTAAACTGCAGGAAGACGTTACTGTGCCGCAAAATATATAGTGTAGTTTTGTGGTATATAAAATTATCAGTTTTCTTACAATATTTACAACATTTATATTTGCAACAATTTCAACACTTGCGAAGTGTAAAGTGTGCGACGGAGAAGTAAAATTTCAAACCGATAATACACGTGGACTTGGATTTTAAATTATTGTGCTTTGTGAAATATACACCGACCGACCTCGCACGCAAGAAGCAACGCACGAAGGTAGTATGCTTCGTGGAAAACATGTTTTCGAGGCTAGAACTTCGGCAGATAATGACCAATATGGCCTTGAAATTGATGATTCCATGTAAATAAAAAATAAACATTTAAAAGTAGACATAAGTTGAAACTTTAAACGCGTTTTTCTCGAAACTGCATTTTCAATATCGGTGGTCAGGATATCTCGAAAAGTACTGCATCGATTTCAAAGTTGGGTATTTTCGGTTGAGTATTTTCGTTTTTATAACCTAAAAACTAGCTATTTTTCATAAAAAAATCGAAACGTCTGCCATGTTGTCAAAAATCAATATCTCAAAAATCCATCGTTAAGGACTATCAACTAAAGACATATTTTTCGTATATGATTTCAGATGACCGTGGGCTGTCCACCGCGAAGTATGTTTTTTTGAGAAGCTCTCAGGAGAACTGCCTTAACTTACAAATTTTTGCATATTTTTAAATAAGAAGTATACAATTAGTAATAAAAAGTTTACTTTTTCAAATAAAGGAACATTGGCTGAAAATGGTCCTAAAAATGTTGAGTAAAAAATTCCCAAAAATCACCATTGTTTTAAACTCCTAATTGAGCATAACCCCTTAAAGCATGTTGTTACAAGATTCTCCAACCTACACATTAGCTTTTATTACGTCTTTTAACCTTTTTCTGTATCTTGATGAAAGATATTGCCTCATCTCTAATAATTTAGTGCAGAGTACAGTAAATTCTCTCCAATTGTCCTTCAGCTTGTAAACAAAAGTGAACAATCATCAATTGCACATTAAAGTGAAAACTTCAATAAGTATACTAGAATTTTTTCGAATTTTTTTAAGGCCAGGAAGAATTCAAAAATCAAACATTGGCTTGAAAGAACCATGTTGCCAGTCGCGTTAGTAAAAATGTACCTTGCCGGCGGTGGGTTAACATTCTTTGCATGTGAGAATTGTTAGCGTGGATCGATCGCTTCGATCGCTCGAAAAATAACCTAACCAAGACCAGCGATACTTACTAAGAAATTTAAAAAATGGTACCTTATAGATATTAAAGCCAGTGCTGTTCCTACGTTATCGACTGCTCGACCGGAGATATCAAGCGACGCGTCGGGATGGGCGAAATTACCTCAGCGAAGATACATTTATTAGAGACATCTGTATATGTTGGTTTCAATATGTAACACTAGAATTTTTTTTATATATCTTGGGCCTGGTAATTTCCCAAAACTAATATGTTATATTAGGGATTCTCTGTCAGCCTCCAAATTTCGTCTTGATCAACGGCAGGTCACTATTGGAAGTAGGGCCTCATTTTATTAAAATTTTGGTTTCTATATATCTATATTCAACAAAGAGTCCTGACCCGTCAATTAATTAAATAAATACATAGATACATTCAGCAAAGGGAGAACATAACCTTGAATGACCATGGGAAGTTAACAAATAGTAAAATCCGACTAAATGAGAACATTGTGCAGTTTTACTTTAAAAAACCAAGGTCACGTTCGGGTTTTGAAAACATCTATACCTAGATACACCTTTAATAACGATATAAGTATAATATTCTTGATATAAGAGAGAATAGAAGGTTGTGTGTGTACCTGTGCCAAATTATATATTATCTATCCTATTATCAATAGTTACATCTTAAATGAAATACGTTACGTATGATTATGAAAGCAAAAACTATTCACATTTTCAGAATCACCTGTAAAATAAAAATAGGAAATGTATTGAATGTATTGATACTTGATATGGACTATGTAATCTAATCATAACAATTGAAAGATATCAGGAGATGCTAGTTTTCCTTTCAGAAATCTAAGGTCTGTCGTTGCTACGGTGTCATAACAAGTAGCACTTCGAGGATTTGTGATCAATGATTTTGTGACATGATATACACTTATAGATCTCGTGTATAAATATATCATTTTTATTATAATGTATGTTTGGATTAAGAAGTTTATTCAATCATTTTCTATAAAATAGTCTTTATATAATTTCAACAACTTTACAACAGAAATTGCATAATTTCATTTCAACGAATTCCTCATTATCATTGTAAACTCGTGAAACAAAATTTACAAGCTCGCTAAATTCGTGAAAGAATTGCGATATTCAGGAACGGAACTATTTTTATATTTTTGATAAGTAAAAAATGTTTTTGTCCTTGCTGTAACTATACCAACTGCGTGTACTGTTGCGGTAGAATCGTAACAGACTGGAACAGAAGGCCATAAGCTTGGGTTTTACTCTCACAGACGGAATGTTAAGCACAGCTGTTAGAAGCAACGACCATGCTCAAAATTTCTGTGGAAAAATTCGAACGAAGTGTCGGAGGAGATCTGAAAAGAGGCCCGGCCGTCGGCGGCGCCGGCTCTGGGATTCGAACCCGGAAACGATCAGAATACTGACTTCGCGCTTTCCTCACGCGGCTACTTCGACACTTGTGAGTTGTTACGTAGAATTTTCTTATTCATTTACGATTGGAATTATTCTTGTTTTTGGTAATGGAAAATAACCTAATTGACCCCATGACCCCTAATTTACAGAAAGAGTGACATATTTCATTTGGAATAAAGCAGAACTGCACAACATCGGGCAAACCTAGTAGTTATCTGGTATAATACCGCCTTACTTACCGCTGACCGCTCCTCGCTCACTCACTCATTCATTCATTCGTTTATCATTCGCTCATTCACTCATTCATTCGCTTCACTCATTCATTCGCTGGCCGCTCCTCATTCATTCACTCACTTACTCACTCACGTTTGTCATACTCCCACCAGATCGCTTCAAGTGAAGAAACTGGTTACTAGGCCGCCAATCACCAATTGTAAAGTATGATTACGGAACGAGTTTTATAAGTAGCTTTTAAATTTTACTTATTTATGACAAAAATGAGTAGATAAAACAAATGACGGTAAAAAGATGTAAAGAACTTAAAAATACTGTTGCATTATTTTCAACTCCATAAACTGGTTAAGAAAAAAAGAAATGTCTACGTAACTCCTATATCTTGTAAGATAATTTTTATTTTATAGGATGATCCATAGTCTAGTCATAAAATTTCCATATACCGGGTGTACATGCTACTATCGCTCCGCGATTTCCTTGTAAACGGTAAATATTAGATAAGAGATAACAAGAAGGAAAAGAAGTCCCATTTTTTTATAAAGAACATAATGTTCTAGAGTAATTTTTTGTGTATTTACAGAATTCTTTTTTAGGAATGAGAATAACCTTCAATGTTTTCAATAGAATGCTATTGTATACATACAATTTGATGTCAAATAAAAGTGAGTCTCAAGCTAATTCATTCATGTGCTATATACAATGACCTTCAAGGTAATATAGGGTCAAAAGTGGAAGATGTGTTTTAACCGTTTATTGTACCAACATGTTTACTAGTACAGGTAACCCTCCTATAACACGGTAGATAGGTTCCTAGAAAATGCCGTGTTGTGTGAAACCGTGTTGTATGAGATCCAGAGCCAGTACAAAATGGGGGGTTACGTCCGAAAACTTATTAAAAACAAATTTTTTTTAAAATTCTACATAAACAACTTAATTTTTATTAAAAATATAAATATATGTACAACACAAAACAAAAAAAATACAAAAAATATTATTTTAATTTCACGCAACTCTAATTTAATCAATTTCTTCGTCGTCATTGCTCAGTATAATCAACCGAGAACGTTTTTGCGATGGAATGATATCGTCTTCACTTTCAGAACTTTTTTCTTCATTTAAAGTTCCTGCATCTTCTTCCCTCTTAAAAAAATCTGTAATTGTACTTTGGTTACTGGTTCTTACCAGGTCATTGTAAATTTCTCGGTATGGAGCTAGACAGTTTTGCAGCTCCCTTTTGAATTTTCGGCTTTTTTCAGTAGAAGAGTCTGCATCCAAGAAAAATGTCTCGAGATTTTCAGCTAAGCTTAGGCCTTCTTGTAATTTTTTTAATGTTAAATTATTAACTGCACAATCTTCATCAGTGCTAGTGTCCTCAGAATCGATTTGATTTACAGCTTCGGGTGCCATTTCTATCAAATCCGCTTCGTCAACTTCTTCTTCCACTAATAAATCTTGAACGTCTTCAATAGCTATATCCACAAAACCTTCGCCTCCGATTGATTTAGAAAGTTCTAATATGCCACCAATTTCATTTTCTGACGAGTCACGCACGTTTTCTATTTCAACTGAAGAGGGCCATATCTTCTTCCAACACACATTTAACGTTGATGTTTTCAGTTCTTTCAGCGACAAAGGTATGATGTCGATACAGTGCTTGATTGAAAATTTCTTCCAAGCTTCCATTACATTAATTGATTTTGAATCGGTTACGTCTAAAATCCACCGTAATCCTCTTCTTATGTAATACGTTTTAGAGGTATAAATAATGCCTTGATCCAATGGTTGGAGCAACGAAGTAGTGTTAGGTGGTAGGAACAGTATTTTGACGTTTGGATTATTCATATCTTGTGGGTGACATGGAGCATTATCTAATAGTAATAGCGCCTTGAAGCTCAAATTTTTCTGTCTTAAATAACGTTCGACGTTTGGCACAAAACAATTTAAAAACCAATCTTTAAATAAATTTCCAGTTACCCAAGCTCTTGGATTTGCTTTCCAATATACTGGTAAGGTGTTTCTATTTACGCCTTTAAGTGCACGAGAATTTAAAGATCTATAAACTAACAAGGGTTTTGTCATGAAGACCCCCGATGCATTACTGCACAAAAGGAGCATTAGACGATCTTTAGACACCTTAAAACCGGGTGCTGTGTTTTCTTTTTTCGATATAAAGGTTCTACTGGGCATTTTTTTCCACCAAAGCCCAGTTTCGTCGGCATTGAAAACTTTATCTGCTGTGTATCTTTGCTCTTCTATAATGTTTTGAATTTTTTCTAGACACGTCCTAGCGGCTTCATGATCAGCCGACGCAGATTCTCCTTGGATTGTTATGCTATGAATTGCAAAACGCTTTTTGAATTTTTCGAACAACCTTTACTTGCCACAAAATCTGGGTTGACAGAGGATTCTCCTTGTTCTTTAAGATGTTTGTAAATTTTTAGTGCTTTTTGTTTGATGATATTGCCATCTAATGGAATTCTTTTTTGACAGCAATCACCAATCCAAATGCTGAGTGCCTTTTCCATTTTCTCAATTACTGGCGCCCGGGGGCGAGCTGCACGTTTTGCGGATGTCAAAGATCCTGCAGCAACTGCACTTCTTATTTCTTTTTCATTTTTCTTGATAGTCCGGACTGTTTCTTCATTCAAATTAAGGCTTTTTCCAATGTGAGATGCTTTTTCTCCTTTCAAAAGACGATCCAAGATTTGTATCTTTACTTCTAAAGAAATAAATTTCCTCTTGAACGTTGTTTTTTTATCTTTATCGAACATAGCTTGGGACTGAAGCTTAATGTCTTAAAGACATTAACACACACACACACACACACACACACACACACACACACACACACACACACACACCGTGGCTCGACGCAGACTGCCGACCAGTAGTGTGAGACACTTTTGTTTTCAGGCCACGGAGATGAAAATAAATAATTTCCGCAACACTCACTGAGATAGAAATGTATACATCTCAGTGGCAACACTGTATCTTTAAGACGGCAAGCCTCGCCGTGGCTGTAGAAGTACAGTGCTGTACAAAGGTTTTTGCAATTTTCTTATCGTGTTAGAGCGAAACCGTGTTGTAGGAGGGTTCCCGCAATTTATGAACCGTGTTATAGCGAAAACGTGTTATAAGATGCCGTGTTGTAGGAGGGCTACCTGTATTTGTTATTCATTTGAATTCGACGATGTCATTATTTTAACCCGTTTTTCGCTGCTCAAATGTCAATCTCTTGTTCTATGATTTCTTTATAATCACATATTTCATATATAATCATATATATTATTATAATCAAATATATAATGCTGGCTTGAACTTCTTTATTGTTAACAATTTCCTTTGTAGAAAATGTACATTTATATTTATTGCATTTCAATGTTCAATCTAATGATTAAATGTTGCCAACAAAGTAATAGGATTTTATTTCCATTGAAAAGTAATTAATAATATTCAGGTTTTATAAATTCTCTTTGAAATTTTCACTTCGAGTCCGAACAAACAACGTTGTAGGGGAACGGGTTAAATAATCAACTTTATATTGAAAGAAATATTCAAACAAATTAATTTCCTGAAGACTCGAAACCAGAACATCCTCTTAATAAATTCGAACGGATATTGATTTCCAAGCTCGGTGAAAAGATTCCGCGACCCATATACGACGACGCGGCGGTCGTGGTGCTAATGGTTAAACAGTAGCATGTTCCGCAGTTCACGCTAGCCGGACAACTGGTTGGCAAAGTCCAGTATCAAGTACATCTGATTCAAGTTGACGCTCCGAATCACCCTATGTAGACCACACTAGGCAGCAGTTCTCTCGAGTGTACGTCGTTTACAGTTGACCGTATCAGAGTCGACCCACTACCGTTGTTAATTAACGCGCTCGCTGAAATTGATTTCGACCTGATCGAATACTATCCAATTTACCATAGGTCTCGACGGATCTCGGCAGAGTTCTGAACAATATGTACAGTTCCCGTGTTCACCCAGTCGGGCTAAAATCAAACCCAGACGATTTCGGTCGCGTTTAATTGGTTTTGTCACCGGTGTTAACAGATCTTGAGGCGAGGTAAGTAGGTTCTGCGGAGATGACACGGTGTATAGCTCCTCTCAAAAACATTCGACAACTTGATAACGCTGACAGGAAACATTTCGTTGTATTGTCTTTTGTAAAATATACGGTGGATCATCTATTGGTTTCTTTTTAAAATTGCTATAGAAAAAAGAACGTTCAATATTATTCCAAGTTTTTTGCTTTATTAAATAAAACGACATTATTGTTAAATCTATTAATAAATTATTTATATTGTATTTATATTATATATATTATTTAATAAATTATTATTATCAAATAGATCTCTGCAGTAGCCTGACGCAATTTCTCAATACGTTTTCGATTGTTTGTGGCTCTATTTCGGGAACAGCTCGGTGATTATTTTTCATTAGAAATTGAATCGCAATTATGTGATGGCCACGATACATTTCTAAAAACGGCTGATTATATAATTATCGCACTTGCAAGAGGAACTTGCAAGCTTTTCTTACAAACTTTAAATCAAAATATCTTAAAATCGAAGGTCTATTTTAAAAAAACCTATTACGATTTGTTGATATTAGGTATGTACTATAACTTTAACCCATTCTCATCTAAAAAACGATTTCCACGATCGTAAGTTCCCCTTATTAGCGCGAGAAGAACATCGATTATTTGACGGCTGATGCTGCACGTTGCACCGTCGAAATTATTTTTCACAATTAATCGGTAAGTTCATTATGTTTAGTACAGCAAAACACTTTGAAAAACATGGAACGGTTTTTTATAGCAATTTGAAAAAGAGGCTAACAGATGTACCATCCTTTATAATTCATTAATCAAATAGAAATACAATTGATATTACTTGTTTTATAATCTCCTAGATATTGACACGCGGACATTGTTTAACAGTAAACATACCGAGCACCAAAAATAAAGAACTTATCAAAATTGTGAGATTGCATTTATCTAGATCTTGTGTAATCGTTATTATTGTAACATACATATGTCGGCGAGAACTAATTTTTGAAAGAATACTATAACAAAATTAAAGAGGAGGAATACATGATTTAAAAATGTTGAGTTTTATCGTTTTTGATTATAAGTAACAGTTATAATATACGGAATACTCTTTTCCATATCAATAACTATTATTGATGAAAAAGTTAAACGTTGGCACATAATAGTTATCGACGAGGAAAATTTAAATTAATATTAAATTTCATTTAATATATAATAATATATTTAATTAGAATATATTATGATGTATAACATATTTACGTAACATTTAATATCGATCGTTTATATTAGTTACTGATTACAGAATTTCTGTTTCGGTTACTCATAATAATCATTAACACTAGATTTACGAAGCACAAAAAACAGCTGTTTTATATTAGTTCATAAAAATATAAAGTCGTTATTAAGACCTATTTTGTTTGCACTAGAATGAAGGTGATTTTTAAGGATGTCAATATACACACTGTGATTCATAATACCATCGATGAAATGTAGAGATCCCACTCCAGCTGCACTTATGCAACCTCAGACTAATACAGACGCTCCGCTGTGTATCGTTGTGGATCGTAAATTTCTTTTGTTAAACTCAGTGCAGTAAATTCTCCCTAATTGACGCTCAGATTGTGCACAAAATTCGAGTCTCGCGGCTCATTTTTACAGTCGCCGATTGTCAAGAATTATAAAAGCGATGTGCAAAGATCGAATAATCGAATAATAAAAATATTCAACATCAGGATATGCAATATCAATTTTATTTTAGTTCTGCGAATTAAAAAAATTTCGACGTCGCTTTTCGATGGATGATGTCGCAAACGATTAAATTGTACGTCCATAGAGACCTTTTATAAAATGCTACAGAAGTTGTTAACGTAATGATAGGTAAACATTCCTGAATATCGAACGAACAATCTGGAATTCTTTTATGGACGTCTTCCAATGCTTTCTTTTCGTCGGAAGCTTTGGCTTGGCCCTGATGAGATTTTTGAAATGATAAAATACTATCCTTCAGAGCAATATCCGATTCACATTTTAACTGAACTGCACAGTAATCACATTTACGACAAATATCTATTTTAGAACACTTAAATCGTAAACCAGTTTGATCAGATCTTTCGATATTTGGGCCTGAATTTTTCGATGCATTATTCGTTCGTGCATTATTGCCACATTCAAACAACAGACGGTAAATATTTCCGAGATATAATGTGATCTTGAATAATGACTTTCACTAGCCGGAAATATTTTAATACGACACTTCACTTCCTCGATCTGTTTTTCAGGCAATTTATTTGCAGGAGCAGTCGCTCCACTTTCATCGCGAAAACAATCCGCGACTTCATTCGAAGAAATCTTTATTACTGTTGTGATAACTCCATCGCTTTCATTGAATGTTAACAGGAAACATTTTTTACACGTCTTAATAAGACGTGATTCAACAGGGGCATAGTAATCCAATGTATACCTTCGCAAAATACGATAATTACTTGTGTTCCTTTTACGTAAACACGTCTTATTTTTGATATCTATCAATCTTCTTAAATAACTAAGTCTCTTACAATACGATCCTTGGTACCAATAAGCATCAAAAGTTTCTTTCTGACCGCTTATAGTACACACCACGACAAAGCTTCAAGACACAGAATTCCTAGTGTTTCTTAAAACCACGGACATGTACGAAGTTTTTGTATGCATAAACATATACAGAGTATACCCTCTGTAGTAACATAAAAAAATTGACCGATAATCGTGCTGTTTTACAGTAATGATAACACAGTTCATAAGAAAAGCGATTGCGACAAGACTATAAGACAAGTTGGGTTTTCCATAAAAAATCAACACAGAATTCTTTATGTTACTTATGTACCATCAATAAACCTCTTTAATTCTTCTATGGCGTTAAACTGCTTTCCTCTTGAGTATACTCTCACAGCTGGCATTTCCGAACAGTTTTCAATAATATTCAAATCCTGCGATCGTGCTAGCCATGGTAAAATATCCATATTTTTATCTCCGAAATAAGCTCGTATTATTCTTACAGGATGCATAGCTGCGTTATCATGTTGAAAGATATACTTTTGCGTAATTACTTTTCGTGCATATTTCGATAATTGCCTATTAACGATATCCACGTACGTGCTACTATTTATTTTTGTAAAAACAGATTCAATATTCGTCTTTCCATAGTGTCCTATAGCTGTGTGCCCACATCATACTACCTCCGTCACCCATTTGCCGCCTTTGCTACTCGATTTCTTCTTTCCTCAGATCAGGAAAATAATAATTTAGGCTGTCAAGTCCATCTAAATTAAAACACTTTTTATCAGAAAAGATTATTTTGTCCATTTTTTAGGCCGATGCTCTGCAAATTCCAATCTGGCTTGTCCATGTTTGACAGTTAGTGGCGGTTGCTTCTTCATTTTAAGTCTTTTCAAATGCTTAAACAATAGCAATATTGTTTTACTTAGCGCATACGACAAATTACAAATATAATAAAAATAAACAAAAATAAATATAAAGAAATACAAGATACAGAAATAAAATAAAAATTAGAAACTATATATTTATAAAGATACAAAAATTAATATTTTCGTTGGTACAATACAAATTTTTATCTTATATTAAGAATTATATCAATTTCAGTAACACAATATTAATAATAAAGCAATACTGGTTCTAAAAATACTTTGGAAATTATAATGAAATAGGGAAATCGAAAAA